CGCGGGGGCGGCCCCCAGCGCGGCGCTTCATGGAGCGGCCCGGGCCCGGCCGCCGGGGGCAGCGCGATCGCGAGGGGCCCTGTGAGCCCCCTGCGCCACGGCACCATGGTACGCAGGGCCCTGCCTGTCCCCCCGCTTATCCGCCCACCTGCCCGCCCTGCCCTCCGGAGCGCGCACGGCTAATGGTCTGGGGGTCCTCCCCCTGCCCTGCTCTCCCCGCCCCCATCTCGGGGACCCCGCGGGCCAGGAATGCGACGCTCCCGCGCGGCCCGCACCGTAAAGGGGGTTAAATTCCTGGGGTGGGGGTGCCAGTGCGGAAGGCTGAGGTCCAGGCATGGTCAGAGGGGGGGGGTGCGTCTCTGCACCCGGGAGGGCGCCGCCTGCGGGCTGGGTGTTGAGGGGCGATTGGGGGGCTCAGATTCCCTCCTGGGCCTTCGGCCACGTGGGCGCTGGAGTCGTCTTGCCTGGGCTCCGGCAGGCCTGGGCCCACGCTGGGTAGGGGGCGCCTGCACTTCACATCCAAACTCCTGTGTGACCTTGGACTGGTCTCCCGCCCTCTCTGGGCCTTCCCGCTTTCCCACCCCAGGCAAGGTTGGGGGGTTAGCATGAGTGCAGAGGAGGCTGGGATAGGCACCTTCGTGAGAGGAGGAGCTTGGAGGACTGGGGCTTGATCCCCTAGCCCAGGCTGAACCCACCTAATGCTACGAGGGGCAAGGAAAGATGGGATGGGGGTGGGGCACCCCTGTAGGGGAGGATGTCAATTTGGGGTCTCTGGGGATTTCATGAGGATGGGAAGCCAGTGGCTTTGTGGGAGCAGTAGGGAAAGTCGCCCTAGTCTTGGTCCCAGTGTCTGGCTAATCTAGCCTAGCTTTGGGGAGAGGGTTGGGGGCACACAGCTCTGACTACCAGAGGTGCTTGACTACCCTTAGTTTGGCTGGCCTGGGATGGCCTGGGCCCTGGGGGAGGGAATGTGTGGCTGTAGTCAGCAGTCAGATGGGGAGGGGCACACACAGCTGCAGGGAGCTGGCCCATCTGGCTGGTGAGGTTGGCACAGCTGATGGGCACTGCCTAGGAGGGCCCAGGCAAGGGGACAGTTGTGCCCTGGAGCCACATGTGGACCCTGTCACTGGAGTTCAGTCAGGGTGCCTGGCTGGGTGGTCCCCTGGTGCTGGCCCCTGGGGGGGTTTCTGCCTTGGGAATGGTATCTTGGGGGTGACACTGCCCCCCTTTCTGCCTTGCTGAGGCTGAGAGCCCAGGCAGGTGAGAAGCAGGCCCTAGGGCTGGATTGTCTCCTGGATGTGGGACAATGCTCTTCCCCCAGGGCAGGTGGCTCTTGTGGAGGGCACCCCTGGAGGAGGAAGGTAGGCTAGTGCCTTGGGGTCGGACTCAGGCTCCCCTCCACAGGCCTGGCTTTGGGAGGCCTTTATCCAAGTTATTTACTCACCCCAAGGAGCCCTGGTGGTGCAGTGATTAGGTCCTCTCACCTGCTAACTGAAAGGTCTGATGTTTGAACCCAGCCAGCAGTCAGAAGGAGGTGGCTGTCGGCTTCTGTAAAGATCCCAGCTTTGGAAGCCCTGTAGAGGTTTTACCCTGCCAGAATGCCGGTCAGTCAAAGGCAGTGGGTTTGAATCCCAAGGAACCCATGTTGAACCTTGACCCTTCACAAATGATTCTGGGGAGGACGTGGAGGCTCCCCGGGATATAGTGGTTTTAGAGCTAACCTCTACTAAGAAACCCATTGCCTGGTCTTCAGCAGAGGTTGGCCCCCAAGAATGGATTAGAATGAGTCAGAGAAAGGAGGGGCCTGGTGCCACATCTCCATTGAATTAGCCAGGCCTGGCTGGGCCACTGGCCCTTGAAGAGAGAAAAAGATGTCTAGGGGCCAGGGAGAGGCGCGTTGTGGAAGACCTCGAGGAAGATGGAGTCATGGCCAGGGCCCTGGCCTGGCTGGGATCTGGGAGCATGGAGTGTCCACTGGCCTGCTTGAGGGTCAAGGCCCAAGCAGAAGTTTGCCTCTGGTCACTCCTGAGGTTCATGCTGACGTCATCATGGATTCTGAGGTGCTGAGCTGAGACACCACCCTCCCCTGGTCCTCGCCCCCCTTCTTCCTGCCTGGGAGTTGGAAGTGGAGGTGCACTGTGTATGGCAGGGGCTGGAGTCGCACCCTAGGGTCTCCAGGGAGGCTGGGGCAGAGTGCGGACGAATGACTTTTGTGGCAGTAAGGCAAGGGGTGCAGGTCAGGTGTGTAAGATGCTGAGGTGGGACCAGAACCTGGAACCAGTGCGCTCTGATGGGCAGGTGGAGTAGTGGAACAGGGGTTGTCCACCCTGAGTCAGGGCTGGGCTGGCTGCCTGTCTGTGGGACCCGCTTTTGAGGAGGTGCGGTGGTGAAGCTGGCATAGTTGAGTTGGCATAGTTGGCCCCTCTTCTGAGCAATTCAAAGAAGCTGGATGTGACCCAAGGCCCTGATAGTCTGACTTATCTGACTTTGAGGGGCCTCCTTAAAGCTCCAGAAACCCCAAGTGATATGGCTTCCAGCATGGGAAAAGTGCGTGGAGTGGGGCTTAGGGACCTTTGAACACCGAGATCAGATGGCACAGCTGTGCCCTCCCACAGCACCCCATCTCTGAGGGGAGCCAGGTCTGTGGCCATGAGTGGTGGAGAGGGGGTGACCTGTCCAGTTCTGGGGTAACAGCAGAACCAGGGTGAGGACATGTCTGAGTCCCTCACAGAGTGTCTGTTTCTGTTGCTCTCAGGGTCTAGACTTGAGGCCCATTGTTGGTGAGGTACGTGGGTACCCAGGAGGCTGTGGGCACCTGACTTCTGTCTTGAGCTGTGTGGGTGTGAGTTGAGCATGTGGCAGAAACTCCAAGGGGCCTGCAGAGAGTAGGAGCTGAGAAAATGCTAAGGGCATGCCCAGGTCCCTTCTGGGAGGACCAGCGTGCCTGGGACTGTCCTGCTTTTTCAGCCCAGGAAAGCCCTGGGTCCTGGGCAGCGGGCTGCCTCATTGGCTACCCTGGTGCATTCCTTTCTCCCCCCCTCCCACTTCCTCTTCTTTACTCTTGCACATCCCCTTGCAGGATAACTTTTCCTGTTTCACAGGAGAAGAGCTGGAGGCCCAGAAAAAAGTTAACTGAGTGGCCCAGGAGCTGATCTTCCGCCTCAGACGGTGCCGGTCAGCGTCCGAGGCCCGCGGGGAGGTGGACGTGGGCTTGGCTCCCGCTGCCCCACCGCTGGCTAGAGCTTCAGCTCTTCTGTCTGTGAAGCAGGAGTGATGGGCTGCCCCCCGATGGTGGGCGCTGCTGAGGGACCGGGTGGGCTGTAGGGAATGGGCAGGGGCCCCCGGCTGGCCTTGACCCTCCCCTGCTCCTCTCTCTCCTGCTGCAGTTGCTGGTTGAGAAGACGACCGACTCTCCGGCAGCCGAGTTCTCGCTGGTGGAGGATGTGGCTCTGCACTTTGCCTGCTTGATGGGCCGCCTCAACGAGCAGCGTCTTTTCCAGCCCGACCTGTGTGACGTGGACCTGGTGCTGGTGCCCCAGCGCAGCGTCTTCCCAGCCCACAAGGGTGTGCTGGCCGCCTACAGCCAGTTCTTCCACTCCCTCTTCACCCAGAACAAGCAGCTGCAGCGCGTGGAGCTGTCCCTGGAGGCGCTGGCCCCCGGAGGCCTGCAGCAGATCCTCAACTTCATCTATACTTCCAAGCTGCTGGTCAACGCGGCCAACGTCCACGAGGTGCTCAGTGCCGCCTCGCTGCTGCAGATGGCCGACATCGCCACGTCCTGCCAGGAGCTGCTGGATGCCCGCTCCCTCGGGCCCCCGGTCCCTGGCACGGTGGCCTTGGCCCAGGCGGCTGCCAGCGGCACCCCAGCCGCACCGTCCTACTACTGTGACATCAAGCAGGAGGCCGACGCCACGGGCCTGCCCAAGATCTACGCCCGTGAAGGCCCTGATCCCTACTCGGTGCGTGTGGAGGACGGGGCAGGGGCTGCGGGCGGCACAGTGCCCACTGCCATTGGGCCAGCACAGACCTTCTTCAAGGAGGAGAAGGAGGGGAGCGTGGAGGAGGCCGCTGGGCCCCCGGCCCCCCTGTGCAAGCTGGAGGGTGGGGAGGAGCTGGAGGAAGAGCTGGGGGGCTCTGGCAGCTACAGCCGCCGGGAGCAGTCCCAGATCATCGTGGAGGTGAACCTCAACAACCAGACGCTGCACGTGTCCACGGGCGCCGAGGGCAAGCCGGGCACAGGGACCAGCCCGGCCACCATGGTACTGGGCCGGGAGGACGGGCTGCAGAGACACTCGGAGGAGGAGGAGGAGGAAGAAGAGGAGGAAGAGGAAGAAGAGGAGGAGGAGGAGGGTGGCGGCAGTGGAGGGGAAGAGGAGGAGGAAGAGGAGGAGGAGGAAGAAGGTGGCAGTCACGGGGAGGAGGAGGAGGAGGAGGAAGGGGGTCAAAGTGACCAGGAGGAGGAGGAGGAGGAGGAGGAAGGACACAGTGAGCAGGGGCAGGACAGCTCGGAGGATGAGGATGAGGGGGAGGCTGGTAGCAGGCAGGGCGCTGGAGGGCACCGAGGCAGCTGCGTGGAGCCCCCACCCCACAGTCGCATGGCCACACGCTCCCGGGAGAATGCCCGGCGCCGGGGCACCCCTGAGCCTGAGGAGGCCGCGCAGCGGGGCGGAAAGCAGCCCAAGCCGCCCCCCGGAGGGACCCCAGCAGCGGCCCGTGGGCCGCCCGCCGCTGACGGGCTGGGCGCCAAGGTGAAGCTGGAGGAGAAGCAGCACCATCCTTGCCAGAAGTGCCCGCGCGTTTTCAACAACCGCTGGTACCTGGAGAAGCACATGAACGTGACCCACAGCCGCATGCAGATCTGTGACCAGTGCGGCAAGCGCTTCCTGCTTGAGAGCGAGCTACTGCTGCACCGGCAGACGGACTGCGAGCGCAACATCCAGGTGGGCCTCTCTGCACGGCCACCAGCCCCCAGCTGCCCAGACCTGAGCCCAGCAGCCTTCCCGGGGGAGGCCCGACTTCCTGCCGGACAGCCCAGCTAGCCTAGCTCTTCACGGTGTAGGAGCATCAGGGAGGGCTTCCTGGGAGAGGTGGACAGAGCTGGGCTTTGGCCCTTGGAGAGGACCTTTGGGGAAAAGGGCGGAGGGAGCATAGCACTGGGAAGAAGAGAGCAGAGACTTGGGTGACGAGGAGACAGAAGGCAAGTTCTGGAGCCTTTGCAGCAGGGACTGTCTGAGCAAATCCCAAGGGCTGCGGGAAGGCCCACCATGTACACTTTCACAGGTTGTACACTGCACAAAAACACTCAAAGGGGAGGAGGGATTTCCCCAGAGGGACTGCCGTTTTCTGCATCCTTCACAGGCACCGCATAGAGCAGGGAGAGAAGTCCCCCCAGATAGCTTTCTGGAGACAGAGGCAGGCCTGGTCCTGGGGAAAAGGCACTAGATGAACAACTTGGGAGGAGCAGGGCAGCTGAGCTGGGCTGGCTGCCAGGCCTCGAGCCAGCCTGCATCTGTCTGTGCCAGCCTGGCCGCTTAGGGTGGGGGGTGAGTGGAGGCGGCACAGGGCCAGCCAGGCTCCTCAGGGGAAGGTGGTGTGTTTTTTTTTTTTCCTAGCCCCAGAGACCAGGGGTCAGGTAGGCGGATGCTAATTGCCAGTGCTAATTGCTAATTGCAGGGCCCTGTGGAGAAAGCATTACCTGGGGGTTACCTGGTAACCAGCCCTGCCCTCTCTCACCTGCTCCCACTTGCCTATTGCTACCGGCTGGGCTGCCCTTTGTCACATACCTTTGACTCCTTCCCAAAGGGGAGAGAAGCATGTACCCCTTCTGATCTGTGCACCCTGACCCAGTTTCTGCCCGAGTCCTGGCCTAATCTCTGGTCATCAGGTGCCCTGCACAGATAGGGGATAACCAGGAAAAATAGATCATGGTCCGGGTCAGGGGACAGGGAACACAGTGTGGTCCCTGAGCGTTCCAGGACCCTCCATTATCTGAAAGGACCTAGGGTTCCCTGTAATCCCACCCAGACAGCCCCTTTGGGACCTGGCCCCTTAGGGACCTCTGGGACCTAGGTCTCAAAGGGAGCAAGGGAAACAGCTCTCGAGCTTTGTGCCGTCCAAGAGGGAGCTCTCTGTCAACTCTGTGTCTGCAGCCAAGTGTCTGTCTCCCTTCTGCAGAGCCTTTAGATGGTCTTGTTGCAGTGAGCATGGGTTAAGGAGGTGGTGTTGGAGAAGCTTTTTGGAAGAGGTGACCCCTGGTCTTTGGAGGAGAGCCCAGGGCTCTGGGTGGGTGACCAGGAGTTAGGGAGTTAACCATTTCCAACTCCTACATAAGATTCCTTGGACAGCAAGGGCCCTCCTGCCTGTTTCAAGTGGGGAAACTGAGGCCCAGAGCCTTGTCCAAGATGATGTGGTGCCGACTGACAATGCCCGGCCTAAAGTCCTCTCGCCCCACAGTGTGTGACGTGCGGCAAAGCTTTTAAGAAGCTCTGGTCCCTCCATGAGCACAACAAGATCGTGCATGGCTACGCAGAGAAGAAGTTCTCGTGCGAGATCTGCGAGAAGAAATTCTACACCATGGCCCACGTGCGCAAACACATGGTTGGTAAGTCCGGGCACCCAGCATACTGGGAAGAACTTTGTATCTGGAGGATATAGGCAGTGTGAGGGGGTGAGAAGGCCCGTCTCAGCTGGGAGGTCTTTGGGGGACACTGGCTGCTGTGTTGCACATAGACTTCAGAGCCAGGGCTTCCGTGTACAGTTGGGCAAGTTGCACACTGTGCCAGTACGCAGTTGTGTGTTGTGGGTTTGAATTGTATCCACCTCGAGGAGGACAATCACAGTGCCATGCAGGGTGGCCAGGGTAGACACAGGGCTTCTGGCCAGACCCTGCCCCTTTCTCCACTTGAGAGTGCCCTGAGGGGGCCTCCCTGGGGCCCAGGTTCTAGGTTTGACCAGACACTTGCTACGAGCAGGTGTTCCTTCCTGGGCTCCTGTTCCCTGGCTCTTGAGCCGGCTGAGTGTGGAGAGGCAGGGGGTCCCTGTCTCTAGCTGCCTCCTTCCAGAACTTTCTTGAAGGCTTCAGGCCTCGCCCATTCCTGGGTTCTGGGCAACATGGCTTGCTTCCTCTGGTTTGCTTTTGAGGGGTTCAAGCTGGGCCTTTACCAGCTCCAGCCCCAAAAGGCTCAGTCATCCTTGAGGTATGAATGCTATTATTAACCCCTTTCAGTGGAAAAGAAGCCAGTGTGTGCAGCACCTCCATACCTGAGCCGACCCCTCCACACCACCACACCTGAGCCCACCACACCTGAGC